AAAGGATAGAAAAAAGGGTGATGTAACTTATTTCTTCATTCTTTCTAAAACAACACAGCAAAGACAAAATGAAGTTTTATGTTGAATCTTTCATGCTAATACCTGAGCAGACTCAAATCTAGTTTATTTTAGTGCCAGTTACCATTCCTCATTTCCTAAATTAGGAACCAGAGAGAATATTTAATAGGTCATCCATAAAATAGTTCACATCTAGAAACTAGGATGATTGTAGGTCTCTTTCCCTAAAGTTCTTAATTAAAGAAAGAAAGTAGTTTGTAAAGTGTACTGAGTTCATGTTAAAAGGATTAAGCAAAACTGGTGTCCTCACAATTTTGGGGGGGTATTTTTTTTCTTTTTTTGATATTAGAAGCAGCATTCTGTAGAAAGAGCTTAGACTTTTAAATGAGGCTTAAGTTTGAATCTTTATTTGTTACTTGTTAGCTAGATGACTCTCTCAAAGCTTTGATTTTCTCACCTGTAAAAACAAACTTGTATAAACCACCTAGCAGACAGTTTGGAAAGATGAAAAGTGCTGGAAATAGATGATGGAGACAGTTGTACAATAGTGAAACTAATTAACAATGTAAATGCTCTGAACTATAAACCAAAAAAATCTATTAAGTGATTATGTTATGTATGGTTTACCACAGTCTTGTTTGTTTGGGGGAGGAGTGTATTTGGTTAGTTTTGGTGCTGCAAATTGAATCCAGGGCCTGGTACATACTAAGGCACATGCTGTACCACTGAGCTATACCCTTGGCCCTTTATGCCACAATTGTTCAAAAGCACACCCAAAAATAGTAGGTACTTAGTATATGTTAATTTTCCCCTGCCTTTAGAAATTGAGTTTTCATTTTCAAAAAAATATCAAGCAAACATCGTGACATGGACCTGTAGTCCCAGCTACTGGGACTATTCTGCCTTCAAGATCTTGAAATAAGAGCTTCCCGTCTCTGACCACAACTTTTATCTTATCTACAGTTATTAGTCTGCTTTGTAACCTCATTTTGACCTTCTGTCTCCCCCCAGCTCTATTTTTCAAGATTGGCAGACCCTTACTGTATTTATTTTCTTGAGCTACACAGCACAGTTTCATCCTTTCAGACAATTCCAGATTCTTTCTCCTATAGCCTTCTGCTGTGCTCACTTCCCAAGCTCCAGTCATCCTTTTTTTTTTCCTGTACTTAGTTTGCTGAACACTATTGAGGAATGTTCTCAAATGCAGTCCTCACACCACTCCTAGGGTGTATTTTATGGATGGGGGAACTGAGACTCAGGTGTGGAAACTCACACAAGGATACTTGACTTATACAAAGAGATTGGGTTTAAGGCCAGGCCTGTCTGTCATCTAAGCCTGTACTTGGCATTCCTTTGGCCTTGTTCACAACTGTGTAATTAATTTTTTTCGTTTTTATTAACTATCTAAATTCAGATCTTTTCTGCTCTCTGTAAACCTTGAATCCAACCTAAAGTAGGTATTTTAACCTATTACTTCACTGAAACAATTGAGGGCATCAGCAGAATCAACATTATTTTCTTCATATGTACTCTCATTTCTGTGTCTCCTCAGTGCTAATACAGTACCTTCCTCTTTGTTACTGATTTCATTCTCTCTTTAAGGCTTTACTTCATGATTTATTCCATTCTTCCTCCTTTAAAATCTCCTTTCATACTGATTCTTTGCCCTCTACTTTAAAAAAAACAAACAAAAAACCCTGAAAATAGCCATTAGATTTACCACCACTATCATAATCTTAGCAGGAGGCACTTCAGGGAAATAGTGAGTACAGATTCCAGAGGTAAGAGGGTTGATGACTGAATAACAGATATGAAAATGATGAGTGCAGACATCTTTAAAGAAAGGTTACAATGGAAGGAGTTAGTGGGATGTCTGATTGAAGGACAAGGTTGTTTTTGTTTGTTCTTTTAAAGAGATAAGGTAGTTTTAAGCATGATTACATGTTTTAAGGGAAGAAAGGAAGGTATGTGGATAACTCTACAGCAAGATTCTTGGATGAGCTTCATATGGCTTTGTATATAAACTTCATCTCTACTAGCCCAGCTGGAATGGTTCCTCTGTGAAAGTTGACTGGTTCTGCGGGAAGTTTTCGTTCATCTCTGATTTCCTATAGCAGCTCATATATCTCTTATGGTACTCTTGAATTATGAGATGGTGTGATTTTATTATTATTACAAAAGTTTGTTTTTTAAAAGTTTAATATGAAACATGTGTGCGGGGCATGATGGCACACATCTGTAATCCAGTCCATTTGGGAGGTTAAAGGTAGGAGGGCCTTGGTCTGAGGCTAGATGCAAGACTGTGTCTGAAAAACAAAGTTAAAAGCCAGGGGACTGGTGGTATGGCTCAAGTGGTAGAGTACTTGGAGGCCCCGAGTTCAATTCCCAGTACCATCAGTTTTTCATGTAAAAGGGACATGGATTTCTCTGCTGAACAGCTATTATTTATTCTCGTTCCAAGGCTTCTAACACAATAATATTGTTTCCTTCTATTGCTCCCATTCCACTATTGTTCTGTTGCCCAGTAGTTGCCATCTACTCGTCTATCATAAATTTCATAAAGGAATCAAATCCTCAGTATTCCTTGCACATGTTTGCCACCATTTTACTTCAGTTACTTCTCGTCCATAGCTTTTTTTCAGCTTGAGGGACTGGGCTTTGCTCGTTATCAGTAGTATAGTTGTTATGAGCCACATTGTCTGGATTTGATTCCTGGCTTTCCCACTTATTGGCTCAGTAATTTAGAACAAATTACGTATTCTTTCTATGCTTAGTTTCCTATCTGTTATGTGGGATTGATAATAGCAACTGCCTCATTATAAGAATTCATTTTTGTGAACATCTTAGAATACATACTTTTCTTCTACTAAGTTGTAGGATCCTTAAGAGTAGGGACCTATTTCTGTTTCATAACATAAGTGACAAACTTCATTTATCTATCTGTTTGTATAAGTAATATATATATGTTACTATACATACATTTATATATATACATGTGTAAAGTAGTTCAGAATTTGGTTTCTGAAGGAATTTGTTAAGTGCTCAAGTCTATTGTGCATTTGCAAATTAACCATTGGGTATGAGCGTCCAGTTGAAAATCACTATAACTACACATACTTTCTTTCCTACAGTAGTACTCAGTCCCCAGTGTAGGACCAAATGCCAAACAGCTGCATGGTGCTGAACCTTAATAATTTTAGCCAGGAAGACTTGAGTGAGGATATGAAATAAGAAATGGAAGTAAAAGTATGAATAGGTAGACAGCAGGCAATAAAACACTTTACTGTAAATGTTAGCGTATTAATAAGACCCAAAAAGCCCTTAGTGGGAGTTACAAATAATCCCAGGAATCATCAGGGCTGTTTGCCATTCAAGCAGTGTCACTTGTTTTCTTTGTGTAACATCAAGCAAGGGTAGCTTCTGTGACTAGAGTGTTAGTAAATGAAGAGGTAGGATAACTAGAATAATTCTCTTGGGAAAAGATCTGCCCATATTTCCTAAGGGAAAAAAGAAGAAGGGGGGAAAAAAATCTGCTTTCAGACAACTCACTGCCAATTGTCTTTAATTTTTTAATTTTAGTGCTGGGGATTCCTGAGCTGCAGAGAATCTCTGGAGCAGTAATGGCAGATATTGGCTTTGTCTTGTGTGCCTCCTGATGTGTGGAACTAAGTTGGAATTTAATGTGACAGAATGCTGTGGTCACCCGTGCCTCCCTCCTGTAGCTAAGGAGAGAACTGACAAGAGCTGGTTCCTGAAGTGCCTCCTGTGTTTGGGCCTAAATAAAGTTGAGGCTTTTATCTAAGTTGAGGCTGTGATGTTTAATTGTATAGAAAAATACTTGTGATGCTGACATTTTTTACTATAGCCTGGAAATGTCATAATTCAAATGAGTTCTGGTTCCAATTAGCTTCAGGCTTAAACAAAGTTAAACATTTGGATAATAGTTTTGGTAGTAGGTCATAAAGGAGTATATGGTTAATTATATTCATTGTACATTAACTTGACTTTTTAATTGAAAGGGTTTTTTTTTCATTATAATAACCTTTAATACACTCCTATTTTGACCTTTAAGAGAGACATATGTTCATTACTTTAGCTTTTCTGTAGTGCGCACTTAGGCTCTTAAAATTTTTTTATCTGTTTTGCAGTCTTTAGGAGACACTTTTTGGGGAGTGGGGTATTCAGTGGTAGAGCAGTAGCCTAGCATGCAGGAGGCCCTGGGTTCAATCTCCAGCACCACAAAAAAAGGTGAAAAAAGATACTTTTTCTGAAACACTTCAAAAGTATTTTACAGAGTTTTCCTGACCTCAAGGATTCATTTGGTGTTTACTTTGCCTTTTAAGAGTCCTTCTTTCCTGCTCTTTGTAATACACATGCTGACTAAATGTGATTTCTACTATTGTATAACCAAATTGTAACCAGAGTAAAATAATTTGGTCTGTAGTTCACATATATAGTGCAGTATAACTATTCTCAAAAATCCAGGCAAAAAAAATCTTGATTGACTGAGTAAGGCATATTATATAAGAGAATTTAAGTGTAATCTCTACCCTCCAGGAGCTTGTGACTTAACTTAAAAACCAGGCTTAAACATATGAAAAGTTAATCATTTGGAAAACTGTGTTGGTAGTAGGCCATAAAGGAGTATGTGATTAATTTTATTCATTGTACAATGAAGACTCTGAAATTCACAGTGATTTGCTTTTTTCCAGGTTAGTCAAGGAAAACTTTATTGGGGCATGGAATTTGAAATTAGTCCTGAAAATAAGTAAATTTTAGATAAGAGAGAGACTAATCCATATTTTTTGTAGACGAGTTTCACAGTACTTTGTCCTTTAATTTTCTTCTTAAAGAAAAAAAAATCTTTGTATGAACTATTCTCTTTTAATGATATTCTCTATCCAATGCAATTATAGTAAACACTTGAACATGTTTGACATGTCAGTTGGCTTCAGTTTTCTACTTCTGTGTTTTTGTCACAGGCATCCTGATTTTCAGCTGCTGAAGGAAGGACAAAGGTACGGTTGAATCAGTATCACTTACCTTCTATATAGTGTTCATGTTAGTAGAAACATTAGGAGTGAACCAGGTGGTACGAGCTCTTGGACTTCCTGTGCTGATGCATTGTAAGTGTCCTATTTTAGCCACACAAAGAAATATTTGACATGTTCAGCTTTTCCTTTCGTGATGGTAAGATGATGTGTTTGATCTACATGATTTATTGTACAGCTGTTCCTACTGAGGAAGTCTAATTGAACCTGTTGAAATATGATATAAACGCAGCCTCTATCTCAAATACTGTGTTTCTTTGATAATTGGATTGTGCCAATTACATTTGTTGAAAGGTATTTATGGTTTTATAAGATTTTAATATATTAATGTTTCAGTTATTTGATTATTTGAAAGCGTGTCTGAAGCATTTATATAAATTCCAGGTTGTGATTTTTTTTCTAAACCCTCCTCATAGTATTGCTTGGCCAACCATCCCTCAAAACAGATCTTTTATGGGCTGGGGCAGGGTTCAACTGGTAGAGCGCCTTCCTAGCACAAGGATGTGAATTCAAACCTCAGTATTGCCCAAAAAAAAAAATTTTTTCAACATTCAGAATAAATGTTCCTGGTTATTAGTTACTCCCTTAGTCACATGATAGTCAACACAGCTTAAGAAATATTTGTTAATGTATATCTTTATAGCTTCAAACTAGAGTAGTAAAGAAAAATATATAATTGCTTTAAAATTCCAAGAGAAAGTATGAAATATATGAAAGTTGAATTATTCCAATTTTTAAAAATTATTCTTCCTTTTCTTCTCATCCAAGAGACGGTCCTCTAGCTATATAGGTTAGATTCTAGTGGAAAAATGATGTGTAATACTGAAAAATGTTGTCATTTTTTTCTTCCATCCACAACCTTGTTTTCAGCTCTTTTTCTTTTTCTTTTGCAATTTTCAACAGTGTGTTTCTTGATCCCAAAACTTTTTCAACCAGTGTTTTAAAGTTCTAATATGTGTTTGAGAGCACCTGCTTATGTGTGCTTGTTTGTCTCAGGTTGATTTAGAAAAGCTACTCTTTGTGTTTACTCTATATAGCATAATTAATATTATTAAAACTTAATCTGAAATTTAAATGGCATAGTCAAAGGGACAACTTTATCTTTTATTGTTAGCATCCTATTGTAACTCAATTTTCAAATTTAAATATCTTTCATTGAAAAATGTTGATTTGCCAATTTTATTTGCTGCTTTGACTTTCTTGTGTTTTTCATTCTGTGGAATTTTCTGTATGATGATCAACCAGAGATGGAAAATGTTTACTCATTTTTTTTTATCTTTCAAACCTTAACAATTCTTGTAATATTTTTTGAGTGCTGGCAAAAATCAAAATAATTCAATAGGATAGATTATTGAAGTGTTTTTTTCTTTCTTCTGTACTCAAAACAATTTAAAAATAATCGAGGGAAGCAGGCAAAGGAAGAAAGATGAAATGAGAACTGTATCAGATATATATATTTGATATAGAAAAATTAAAGCCTTATGAAATTTATATGTCAGAGTTTATAAATAAGGGTATGCCTGGGGAATAAAAATTTTTACCTTGAAAATTATGAAGTTAAATACTGTAGGACACTTTACTTTCCTGTTATAATTACTTTGTTTATCTTTTCTTCTACAGGGGCCATTCAGGAGAAGAAGTACAGTTATGCAGTGAAGCCATTAAAACCTCGGACATTGACAATCCTGGTCATTTTGAAAATGAGTATGAATCTAGCTCTTCTAGCACTTACAGTGATAATACCAGTGATAACGAGCTAGACTTCATTTCCTCCATTCTACCAGGAAACAGACCAAATGCAACGGGTACAAGGCCACAGCTGCACAAAAAAAGCATAATGAAAAAGAAAGCTGGTCAAAAAGCTGACTCCAAACAGAAAGACAAAGAGCAGATGGTAGAAACTGTCACTGAGGAGTTAGGTAATTGTAGATTAGATAGTCAGGAGAAAGCTACTACTTATGAACTTCCTTTACAGAAAGTAAATACTCAGATTTCTTCAAATAGTCCTTCGCATGAAAGATTAAAAGCTTCAACAAATTCTGAAAATAAATGCAGTATGTCAGAAATAACTCTTGTAGGCATAAGTAAGAAAAGTGCTGAGCATTTTAAGAGGAAATTTGCTAAATCAAACCAAGTTTCTAGGTCAGCCTGTAGTTCAGTACAGGTGTGTCCTGAAGTTGCAAAGACAAATTTACTTAAAGTTCTTAAGGAGACTTTGATTGAATGGAAGACAGAAGAAACTTTGAGGTTTTTGTATGGCCAGAATTATTCTTCTGTGTGTCTGAAACCCTCATCAATCTCTCTGGTTAATGAAGAACTTGATGAAGATGACATAAATTCTGACCCAGATAGTCATTCCTCTACCTTGAGGGAATCTCAGAACAGCCTGGATGAGTCTTTACCATTTAGAGGCTCAGCTACAGCCATTAAGCCACTGCCAAGTTATGAGAACTTGAAAAAAGAAACTGAGACATTGAATCTGAAGGTCAAGGAGTTTTATAGAGGACACTATGTTTTAAATGAAGAAACCACAAAATCACAAGATTCAGAACAGGTATGTCTTGATGAGTTTTCTAGACTGCTAGCACTTAGAAAACTCACCTTAGCAAATCTTAGATCAAAACTTGTATTTTATTTCCAATTGGATGACATGCAATAGAATAGAGTTACTAGTTGAATAGTAAAATATTTTTGTGCATAATATTTGGTAAGCATTCCCATTTAAAATATTATGGGTGAAAATAATATAGTAAAGGGAACTTACTGGGAAAGAATAGATACAGACAATGGAAAGAGTACATTCAGATAGACCTGGGTCTGAATATTCACTCTGTCATTTACTAACTTTATAAAAAGTTAGTTTCTTGTGTCTGCTTACTCATTTGTAAATGGGACTATTAATAGCTTCCCTTACTTAACTGTTCACCATGTATAACATATAAATAGTTGTCATACATAGAAATTGAATGTATGTCACTAGTGTATACTGTCTGGGAAATGAAGTCATTTGGCATGAAGAGTGGGTGATAACCTTGTTTCTACCACAAAACTTTGTTACTAAATATTTCTGAGTAAATGTGGCTCTAAACTTTAAAAAAATACTTTGAAGATTTGAAATGGTAGAAGTAGAAATACAGAATAATTTTAGAAATTTCTTATATTTCTGTAGAATTTTTATACCATGCTTGAATTCACAACTATATTATTATACATCATCCAAAATTTACATTAAGCTCGGAGAAACATTGATCTGTCTCACTAAGCTGAATAAACCTACCTACTCATCACTTGTTTTATCATTTTTATGCTGGTAAGTCTTTAAGAGAAGCAATTAATAACCTAAACTTTGTGACTTTTCCTCTGCTACATAACATTTTTTAAACTTTTTCATTGAAGTATGACACAAATAATAAATGTATAGGTCACTGAACGTGGGAGCACACCCATGTAGTTGCTCCCCAGGCCAAGAGGTAGATGTCACAAGTAGATGTATCAAATGTCTCTCCTAATCTCTACCTCTTCCTAAAATTAATGACTTTCATAGTAGTACAGATTAGTTTTGCCAGTTTTTGAACAGTATGTAATTCTCTGGCATCCAGTTTATTTTATGCAATATTATGTTTTTGAGTCGTGTTGCTTTGTTGTATGCCTCAGTGGTTCACCCTTTCATTGCTAACAGTAGTGCATTATTTAAATACAGTACTTCCCTCAACGCCCGAGGATATGCTCCATGACCCCTCTTGCCCCCTGTGGACACCTGAAACCATGGGTAGTAGCAAATTATATACTTGCTATGTTTTTTCCTAAACATACATACGGATGATAAAGCTTAATTTATAAGTTGGCACAGTAAGACATTAACAACATTAATAATACAATAGAGCAATTATAACTATCCTGTAATAAAAGCTGTACAAATGTGCCCTCTCCTCTCTCAGAATATCTTACTGTACTGTACTCACCTTTCCCAGGAGGATGAGAGATCATGCAATGCCTGTGTGAATTGATGAAGGAGATGAATAATGTCGGCATTGTGATACAGCTTTAGACCACTATTGACCTGGCAATATGTCAGGACCATTGTCAAGCCATAATGATGTCAGTCATTGGGTGTCAGGAACAGGCAGTGTCAGTGGTTGGGGATCTTTAATAGTTGATGTGTTTTTTACCAAAATATTTAAAAGAACATTGTAGTCAGAAGTTATTTCTTTTTAACTCATCAAAAGGGTTTCTGCAGAGGTTGTAATCCTTTGGTGATCACACAGATGACTTTAATGCTGCATTCCATCCAAAGATCGTATTCTATAATTTTGCCCTGTAATGTCTGTGCAATTTGAAACATGTGGGCAAATTTCAGTAATGGTCATATTGATGATTCTGGTTTGGTTTCTTCATCTTCCTCTGTAGATGACAAGTTTTTCCATTTCCTCATTTGTTGATACCTCATTATTCTCCCACTTCTTCATCAAACAAGTCAGCAGATCCTTCTCCACCAACTTGTCTTACTGAATAAATAATGTTCCTAACTTCTTCATAAAAATCTCTGAGAAGCCTTTAAAATCATTTATAACTTTGCTTCATAAGTTCTTCCAGCAGGCCGTTATAGTTTTTGGCTTTAATTCATCCATTGTATCTTTGATGAATGTTACTGTGTCAGCAGTAGCTAAAAATTTCCAGTACTGTGTTATGTCCAAATTAGGGCCTACATCATTTGCTAATCAAATACCAGGCAAGTGTATATGGCCTTGGGAAACCAAATAATCTCTTGGTAAAGGGACTGAAACAATAAGATTGTATTTAGAGGTAAAAACACAACTTCAGCATTTTCATTCTTATAGCAAACAAATTCAGGATGACCAGGTGCATTGTTATTACTGACAAGACTTTTCTTTTTTGTTTGGTATTTAAGATAGGGTCTTGCTGTTTAGCCCAGGCTGATGTTAAACTCACTATGTAGTTCAGTCTGGTCTCAAACTCACAGTCCTGACAGCCTCCCAAGTGCTGGGATTATGGGCATGTGCCACCATGCCCAGATACTAGTGATACTACTTTAAATTTGAGCCCTTCCTCTTCCAAGTATTTTTTCACTTCTGAGATGAATCATCAGTGGAACTATCCCATCAACAAGATGGCTGGCACCCACACTTTCTGATTATGCTAGTAGAACAAGGACAGATAATTTTTATGAGCTCACGGGTTCTTCACCCTGTACACTATTCCTGAATTTACAATATGTCCTGCAGTGTCGGCACATAGTGCAGAGTTAATCTGTCCTTCCGTGTTTTATGTGCTGGTACTACCTTTGCACTTTTATGAATGTAGGTTCTGTTGACATTTTCAAAAAGAACCCAGTTTCATCACAATTGAAGAGTTTCTTTGAATGGTATCCTTTCTCCATAATCAGCTCTGCCAGAAATATGGCAGAAACTTCACTGGCAGGTACAGACTTTCCAGTGATTTTTATGCTTTTCAGTCCAAACCTATTCCTGCATCTCTGTTACCTCCCCCTTACTTGCAGTAAATGGCTTGGTGTCACACATTTTAGGAGATCTCTTACAGAGGTCTTCAAATAGGCCCAATGCTTTCTGGCATAACAAGTTACTATCAGCAGGCACACATTTTCTGTTCATGCCTTCTACCAACAAATTTAATTCCTTTTTTGTATTTACTAAGCAGTTACCATGCACTGTTGCTATAACTTTAGTAGTTTGAAGTGTGAGAGCAAATCTAGTGTGAATTTCTTTTTCTTCACAATTTTGTGAATAGTTTTGCTCTTATAGATCTTAGCAACCTCAGCATACAATTGGAATTGCAGGGTCATGTTAGGTATATCATAATATATGCATATATGGGACTGTACTAGATAATGCTAGGCAGTTTTCCAAGATGGTTTTATCAGTATATGAGTTTCCTTTACTTCCTTGCCAGTACTTGATATTGTTAGTTTAGTCATTCTGATAGTATTTGTGTGGTGGTTACAATAGATTTCTCTGATGATTAATGAATTGTGCATTGTTTCATGCTCATTGCTTGAAATAGTTGCTGGTTGGCTGGCTATTTGGAGAATCTCTTATGAAACACCTGTTCTAGTTTTTTTTTTTTTCCATTTATTAGAATATCTGGGGGTGGTTCTTAAGTGATTTGGAGGCATTCTGTTTGTATTCAGGATTCAAGCTCTTTTTCAGTTTTGTATCTTGCAAATACGATCTTCTACTTTGAGACTTAAGTAGCATCTTGACTCCAGTTTTTTAAATTGTTCCTTGAGAGCCTTCCTTACAAGGTTTTTGCTTAATCATCTTCTAGAAGCTTTATTGCTATCCTTTCACATTTAGGTCTGCAATTCACCTGAGATTTTTTGGGGAGGTTTTGTTTTGGAAGTATGGGCCAGATGTCACTATTTTTCATATAACCAATTTGCCCAGCACCATATATTGAAAAAATTTTCACTTGTTGCTGCTCTATAGCATGAATCTTGTCACAAATTAGATGTTTGTAAATGTGTGGGTTATCAGTCTGCCTATCTCCAAGCTGTTGCCATGCTGCCTAATTTTAGCAGCATTGAAACATTTTGATATCTGATAGAATAAATCTCTCAATCTAATTCTTCAAGATTGCCCCAGACATTTGTCATGTTTTCCTTTGCTTATAAATTTTAGAATAAACTTATTAAGTTACAGGGTGGAGCCATATGCCAGTGGCTCACACCTGTAATCCTAACTACTCGACAGGCTGAGGTTGGGAGGATTATAGTTTGAGGCCAACCTGAGCAAATAATTCTGGAGACCCTGTCACCAAAATAACCAGAGCAAAATGAGCTGGAGGTGTAGCTCAAGTGGTAGAGCACCTGCTTTGCAAATGCAAAGCCCAGTCCCATCCAAAAAAAAAAGTTACAGGTCAGGGGATTGCTGGCAATTTTGATCTATATGTTGATTAGTTTGGGAAGAATTAGCACCTTTAAAATCTTCACCTTGTGAGCATATTGCATCCATCCATTTATTTAAGTGTGCCTTATTATTGCTCAGTTGTCATAAGGCTCTTGACCACATTACATTGCATTTATTCCTAGGTATTTAGTTTTTATATGCTATTGTAAATGCTATCATTAAAAACTTTTTTTCCTGTCTGGATGTTAGGTAGAAAATCAGTTTTTCTATATTGCCCTTGTAACTAGTAACCTTGCTAACTTTACTTAAATTTGTAATATTGAAATTTGTGGTTCTAATAATTTATCTGTAATTTTTTGTTTACATATGTAGTTATTATGTGAATGACAGGGTTTTTATTTTATTCCCAATCCAGTCCTCACTCCCAATATTTCTTTTTCTTTTCAATTTTTTTTTTTTTTTGTGATACTGGGGTTTGAACTCAGGACCTACACCTTGAGCCACTCTGCCAGCCCTTTTTTGTGATGGTTTTTTTCAAGGTAGGGTCATGTAAACTATTTGCCCAGCTTGGCTTCAAACCTCGATCCTCTTGATCTCTATCTACCTCCTGAGTAGCTAGGATTACAGGTATGAGCCACAGGTGCCAATGTTTCTTTTTCGTGCCTTATTCCACTGGTTTAGACATCTAGAACAATGTGATTCCTTTTCTCATTCTCTCTTCCAGAAGCAAAGCTTTAAATAACTTTTCCACTAAGTATGTTTGTTGTGGATGTTTTCATAGATTCCCTTTATCTGATTATAAAATTTACTTCTATTTCTAATTCACTGATAGTTATTATCATGAATGGATATTGAATTTTTAAAATTTTTCATGTGCCTATTTCATGTGCCTATATGATAGATTTTTATTATAATTAGTTGCATTTTTATTGTTCAATCAACCTTATTATAATAAACCCAACTTGATTGTCCTGTAATAGCCTTTTCATATAATATGGATTTGGTCACCTTCTATTTGCCTTCAAATTTTTGCATATATTTTCAGAATTAGTGGGACTGGCCTATGAGTTGGTCATGGTCCCATCATAAAACAGATGGTAAAAATTAATTTGAGGAAGGATTGATAAAGGGACTGTTTTCAAAAGTAAAAGTGTGGTCTACTTTTGAAGCTTTCACCACTCCTAAATTTGAAGAAAAAGGCAGGAATGAACTTTCAGGTCTTCAGCCAAGGAAGTGCTGCATATAGAAGACCAAGTGACAAAGTTAGGAGAGGAGGGCTAATTTCCCCTATCTAGTTCTTCTCAAGTTTAAGGCCAGCTGGTCTACATGTAAGACTGTCTCAAAAAACAAACAGTGGCAACAAAAAATTACAGAGGTAACTTGAGACCCAGGATGATGTTATCTTCCTCTAGAGTGGATTTGTGTTTGCTTCTAACATGATTTGTAGTATCTCAAGTCATTTTACTTTAATCAGGGACTTAGAGAATTTAAAGATGGTAATCAGTCCCTGTAAGAGCATGTATTTCCAGTTCATTCTTAATCCTAAAGTGTGGTCCTTTTAAGTCCTTGTCTCAGGCTCTGGGAGCGTAACCCTTGTCCCTCCCTTTTTTTTTTTTTAAAGCAGAAATTTATTAAAGTTCACTTTTACAGTGTTTTACACACAAAAAAAGTAGAGTCCTTAACATTCAGGCAGTCAACTCTAAGAATAGCTTTATGAGAAATGGATTTCTTTGACCCTCACCCCCAGTAAGATACTTCTGCTGTTTATATTCCTAGAAATGATGCATTTAATAACACCACTTTTAAAGAACAATCCCCTGGAGATCCCAAAACCTCTGCAGAGAATGAAGAGATACTAGCACAGAAACTTCTCCAAATGCATTGCCTCACAATACAGGTGTAGTGCAAGAGCTATATGAAATGGCGGCTCTTCAGAGGTGTATGTACACCCGGCCAGAGGACCATGGGGAGAGCCTGCAGGCCGAGCTGTGCAGCCCTGGCTTCATAGTGTGGCCAGCCAGGACTGCATGGCCTCTAGGGCATCTTCTTCCTCTTCATCCTCTGAAGCAGCCATTGCTCCTACAGGTTCAGTCTCAGGAAGGGCATCTGTCACTTTACTGGGTGCTCTGCCCAAGGCCCCTGCTATAATTTCAAACAAGATTTTGTCAATTTCCATTTCTGCTTCTTCCATTTCTTCCTGATGATCCATGCTTTTGAAAGTGTCCTCTAACATCTTTTCTATGATCCCAGCCTTCATCTCTTTGGACACCTGCCGCATGGTGGCCTGGATTTCTGGGGTCTTCATGAGACTCTGCATGGCTTTCATCACCTCTGTGCTCTTCTGTAAGGAGCCAGCCACTCGCAAGACCACCAGCTGGTTCTTCATCCCCATGAGCATGGAGTTCATGTGTGCTTTGGACGTATACAACTTGCTCACAGCCTTCCTTGACCGGATCATCTCCTTGGTCAGGACCACACAGACATCCTTCTGGCCCTTCTTGGAGGCATCCTTCACAGATCATTCACTCTCTCTTCTCTTTGGATATCTCTTATCTGCCTGTCAACAACTCTCATTTCCTTTCTTATCTTCAATGACCATTCATTGACCAGCTCTTTGGGCGGCTTCTCTTGTGTTTTTCCAAAGAGCCACATGGTGAACTGAACTCCTCTTGCCCCTTCTGACTTTCCATTCCCTGTGCCCAGGCAGGTCATGGGCAGCCGCCAGGGCTGTCCCTCCCTTTTTGTCATGCCCCAAACTCTCATTTTTATTAGAAAAACTGTCCAGGTTCTCAGTGTCTAAATTGTCTCTCTTGAATTACTTTCTCCAGAATCTTTTAGCCCATAATTCTCTACTGCCTTGTTAGCTCTTTGATGATTTCAAACAAATGTGGCATTATTTGCTCCCAATTTTTTCATTTCTCAGTTGATTTGAATGATCCTGTGTGCCATTTCCCAAAGAACTTTCCCATAATATTTGGTAATTTCAATCTTTAAATCTCCTATATTTGCATTAGCAGTTTACAGAATCCTTTTGTATACATTCTCTCACTCAATAAAGGAGGTCTTGATATCCCTGTCTGAGAACACAGACCCTCAAAGGAAGGCCGATGACTCAGGAAAGTTTACTTCAGCCTAAATAATGGCGGCACTAATTCTCAAATTTAAGCCTTTTCATTCTCAAGTTTAGTTTTTTCTGCTATACCAGAGGTGTAAATTTTTGTATTTGATGTTTTTTGTTTTTTATAAAAGAATGTCAATTTATTATTCTATTTTGCTTTGTTTTATGTGATTCAGCTCAATCCCAGCTTTCCACTGATAGATTCAAGTTCCCAGAATCAGATCAGAAAACGCATCGTACTTGAAAAATTGAGTAAAGTGTAAGTATGTAATTACCATTCCAGTTTTATATTATTTTTTAATTGACTTGATATTATGAGTTCATAATTTATAAATATTACCCTTGAATTTTGAACATTTTGAAAAATAATATGAAATGTTTACATGGATTTCTTCATTTGAGAAATTTAGAATCAGTTTCTCTTAAGAAACTCAATCAAGATGAAGAACTAGGGCCAGGAAGAGTCAAGAAGAACTGAGTTCAGAAAATATTGCTTTGTATAGAAGATACAAAGGAACATCATAAAGAGAAAGGCTGAGGTTATAGGAGTAGAAAACAAAACTACCCCATTCCCTCTTCATAATCCAATGGAATCAAGGAAAAACTGTCAAAGCTAGACCATTTAAATACTGGGATTTTGTTTGTTTGTTTGTTTGTTTGTTTGGTAAATGTGTCACATCAGTTTCATGCATGAATAAAAGGTTATTTTAAATTTTTAACAGTCTTTCGACTCATTCTGCCTACATACTCTTAGAACCATTTCATAGTTAGCAGCCTGAGTTTTTGTTCAGCCCAACTTTACACTTTGGCTTTAAGCTTCCTGTGGTGGAAATTATTGTTCTTTTTAAGCTCATACATGACACTTAAATTTTACTGTTTTACTTTTTCTGTCAAAAGAAGCTTAAAAATCTTTTTTTTTTTCAGAGCTGTGAGGGCTGAGTTAAACTTTCAATCTACATTTTCTTTCTTTAGTAGGAAACATGGAAAAATGTGTCAGATATTGTTTAAGGAGTTGTAAATACAGAAAAGTCTTAATTTTGTGGCAGTTTGAAAATAAGAAAATCATATTTTTCTGGAACCTATAATATTTTGAGGAGCCGAAGTATAAAATATTACCTATAATATAATGGGAGGTATGACTGTTTTACTATAAAGTATATATTTGAAAGCCACACTTGAAATCCTTTTTGATTGGCTTTGTATCTTGATTTAGTCCTACATAAGAAACTGAACCAACTAGGGCCAGGAGTGGTGGTACATGCCTATAATCCCAGATACTCAGCAATATCAGGGTTCGAAGCCAGCCCAGTCAAAAACATTGAGACCCCTGTCTTAGTAAACAAGCGGGGCATGGTGGTGCACCTCTGTAATCCAGCTATGTAGGAGACAAAGGAAGGAGGGTCACAGACTAAGGCTGGCCCTGGGCAAACTGTGTGAGCCCCAATCTCAAAAATAGCCAGAGCAATAAAGGCTTGGGGCATGGCTCAAGGGGTTGAGCCCCTGCCTAGCAGTTGTGAGGCCCAGGTCTCAAACCCCAGTACCACCAAAAATAAATAAGATTTTTGTTATATATTGTTCTATGTCTATACCATAATCTATTCAGCCAACCACCTATTGATACATGTTTCTATCTCTAATTTTTCACTACTAAAAATATTTCTGTGACAGACATCTTTTATGTTTATCTGAGTAATATTTGTTATTTATTAATGATTATTTCCTTAGAAAAAGTTTTTTTTAATAATACAACTAATAGATCAAAGATACTCATATATATTGTCGAACTGCTCTTCAAGTTTAAAAAAAAAATCCTCAGGACAAAAATACAGATAGCAGCCAAAATGATGTTGCTTTTCAGTGCTTTACACTCTGTAACACAGGACTACAAAGTAGAGTGTGGAGTTACTGCAAAGTAACTATGACTCCTCACCAGTCGATCTCGCTTAAGTTTTTGTTCTAAGTTAGGACTACTTCCATCTTAGTGCCATTATTGCCTCAGGAAAATCCAGAGGTAAGCATGCCACCCAAAATTTTATATAGTTAAATCATATTTTAAAAGAAATATAATTTTTTTATTTTCAGATTGCCTGGACTTTTGGGTCCTCTTCAGATTACAGTCGGAGATATTTACACTGAACTTAAAAATCTTGTCCGAACATTCAGGTTAGTATTAACATTATGATTTTTATCCTTCTCATTTATTTTATCTTTACTCATTGCCTTGCAGAACCATAAGTAGACAAAGGCAGAAGTCATTTACCTTTGCTATTTTACATCTAAATATAGTGCTATTTTCTTCTCCCTAAATGTTACCTTTTATCTTCTCTTGAATGCCACTGCTTCTGTGCGCAAACCTTGCTATGTTTCACTTTGGATAGTTTGTTTATAGAATGCCCTAAAATGAAGGAGAAATAAATGAATGACACAAAATCAGTAACATTGTGGATATTAGTGAAATATTAAATATATATCAGATGACCACCACTGTGCTAAGCACTGTGGGCAATACAAAAGAAGCATAGTGGCCATCTTCAAGGAAGAACTCTCCTCTGAGAAGACAAACTGAATACATTTAGCAATACAAGACAGTGCGTAATTTAATATTGAATTATGTGGAACAGACTTGAAGTGCTAAGAACTACAAAGAAAGGGAGAGAAAATTGATACCACTTGTGAAGTAGCGCGCTTGGGATTTTTCTGATTGATAAAACATGCATACAGGACATTTTCACTTCAAAGTGAATGATTAGGTAATAATAAATCTGAACATGATGGTTCTAATAAGATTATTACACTCATAAGTTGTCATAGAGACAATACAATTTCAAGATCTTTGATCACACACAAAATAACGATGCCAGAAGTGGTCTTCAGATTGGGTGAGCCTTAGGAAGGCTGACTAAATGCTTTACAAAAAAAAGGGTTTGGGTCAAAGCTAAACTTCTCTGTATCCCTGTTAGTGATGAAAAGAGACACTAGTTTTTCAGGGCCTGTTTTAGAACCATGCATCCAAAAGGGGAAAAAAAGCATTTAACAACCATCTACAGTGCTGATAAAGTTTCAATAGATATTCACAGTATGGGGCTGGCAGAGAGGCTAAAATGGTATAGGAACCTGGCTCAGAAGTGTAAGGCCCTGAGTTCAAACATCATTACTGTCTCCCCCCAACACCACCAAAAAAAAAGATATACAAAGTGAGAAAATGCTGAAGTTTTGGGTTTGTTTTAGATTTATCAGGAAGTGAATAACATGCTAACACAGAATTTAGTTGAGGAAAGACTTGCCATTCAGCTTCCTGCAGACAATGCTTATTTAATCATTATTTTGGGCTAACTGGTAAAGTCACTGAAGAGACATTAAAATAAGTCCTTTTAGGGATTGGTAGTATAACTCAGTAGTAGACTTCTTGCCTAGCATGCATGAGGCCATGGGTTTAATCCCCAGCACCAGAAAAAATAAAAAATATGATAGATCCTGTCATCTTGAGCTATACATTTTCTACCCTGTTCATTTAAAATAGATTAAATAGCAATAATTTAATTTATATTTTCCAGAGTGACTCTGTTCTATAAATCTAATTGAATATCTTTCAAAAGACAGAAAACAGCTATTCCAAGATACTTGGAGAGCTTACTAGAAACTCAAAGGAAAAAAAAAATGTTAGTCTACTTAGACACTTCTAATCAGTGAGTTTTGGTCAACTTTGGAAACTGACTGGAGTTAACTGGGGATCCCTACAAACTTGATCCCTGGTCCCACTACCCCAGTCCTCAACACCAAGGATTCTGATTTAATTGGTCTTGCATATGGCCTTCAAAAGGACAGGATTTTTAATGCTGTCCAGGAGATTTTATTGGAATCCACTGCTCTAGGGCATAATTCAAAGCAATAGATATATAGATACCTGACTGATCAGCCCTGGCCCTTGGTTCTTCTCCTTGCTTCCTTCTGGGGCCAGTCAATAATTTTAGAACATTCAGCAAATGGAGATCATATTAGTGAAATTTTTGTTGATTCTTCCCAACCTCTTTGTTTTTCTACCATACAGAGACCACAAATAAAATTGTCTTTGTAAGTAATGCCTACTTTGTTTTCCTTTATGAAAAAATTATTACTAATGAAAAATACTGCCAATAAGAACTTCTGTTCAGCTCTTTGATAGCTAATGTTATCACATCAAGTTATTGAAACTTGATGGTTTAGTTTTGTGCTGCCTTATTATGGGTAAAATTTCTTTTTCCTTTAGGGTTACTTATGTCTTTTGAATTATATTTTAAAAAATAACTACAGTATTGTCCCATTATTACTTGCATATACTGTAGAAATTTAGGTATTTCATGTTGAGTACTACTATCTGTACTGTTATTTCTGGTCTTTTGAAGCAAGTCTGATAATTTCTGAATGATGTCAGGACATACAGTCAGTACAGTTCTCACTGTGTGGTGAACTGCACTTGATACTTTGTATATGTTATTTAATTTCTAGATAACAGGTGAGAGGTTAGATAACCTCTCTCATGCATCTAGGCCTGGTACAGTGGCTCGAACCTGTAATCCCATCTACTTGGAAGGCAAAGTTCAGGAGGAATGCGTTTCAAGGCCAGCCTAGGCAAAAAGTTAGTCAGACCTCCATCTTAAGCAGTAAGCTGGGCATGGTGGCACACACCTGTTATCTCAGCTATGCAGAAGGCATAAATAGGATGATCACAGTAGTCCAGCTGGCCAGGGAATGCAAGACCCTATTCAAAAGAATAACCAAAGCAAAAAGGGATAGGGGCATGGCTCAAGTGGTAGAGCATCCACCTAGCAAAGGTGAAGCTCAAACCCCAGTATAGCCAAGAAAATAGCCTGTCATGACCTGAAGGCTGTCTAACTACAGAACCCATGCTTTTTTACCAAGTTATGTTGGTGAAAAGGTCATTAATTGTAAAAGACAGTGTAGACTCAAGGTTTTAGAATATTCGTGTTTCAGAGAAAGCCCCTTGGTTTGAGACAGAAAGTGTCCTCTGTACTTGATCTTCTACCTGGTCACTTTGTTCCTGAGTTAGACAAAACTTCTTTCAGGGTCCAGGGGTATAGGTTAGTGGTGGCGAGCCTTAGCCTGCTCAAACCCCCCAGGACAAAAAAAAAACCTTTAAAACCACAAGTCTAGAGTAGCTTTTTGAGTGTGTATGTGGTGGCGATGGAATCCAGGGCCTCACAGATGCTACACTACATACCCATACTCTAGAGAGACTTTGAAAAAAACTTTACACTTCATATCTTTTCTAACATTGCTATGTTGAAGGCTTTTAAAATGTTCTGACATATTGCTGCTGGAGAGGCTCAAGTGGTAGAGCACCTACCTAACAAGCGCGAGGCCCTGAGTTCACACTCCAGTACTGCAAAACAAGAAAAAAAATGTTCTGATATAGTATAAGTCTTTTTAAAAAAAATGTTCTGTCAAGAAAACATGAATTTGATTATAAAAGCATAGGAACAAGGCAACTTAATTATAGTAAAGTGAGGTTTGGGGTAAGAATGAAGAGACATGGGACTATGTCACATTTCATTTCTTTTATTATATGAAACTAGGTTGTGATTTGCCATTATGGTATGTAGTGAAAAACGAGATCTATTAGTTCTCAGACCAGCGTTTTCCCTTACCCCATGCCACGTTGCTTTTCTTCTATACTACTCTTCCTGTAACTTTTCCATAGGGGAATATTTTATTCCTTTACTCAGTAAGTTTTTATCTATCTCCTGCTATGTTCTAGGCCTTGCATAGACACTGGGATATAATTCCTTCCTTAAGCAACTTGCTTAAGCAACTTACTTATTAAAGTAACATGTATGCTATCATACATTTGGAGTATACTAACTGAGTAGGTCTTAGGCATCACACTCACAGTCCCACACATGTACAGGTAACTCTGTAAGGTGATGCATGTGCTAATAGCTTGGTTGTGGTAATCATTTCACATCATATACATAATCATCACATTGTATAGCTTATGTATAATTTTTGTCAATTATACCTTAGTAAAGCTAGAAAAGGTAGTTATAAGTGTAATCAATTTTATAAGAGGATGGAGAGTTCTGGAAGGTTGCATCAAGATGTTAGCCTCACCAAGTGAGGAAGTCATTGTATCATCAGGGATACTATTCCTGAAGAAATGACATTAAAACTAAGATATGAAGAATGAATGTGTCTTTGGGCTGGGAATATAGCTCGGTGGTGTAGAGTGTGCACTTAACATGCATGAGGCCCTGGGTTGGATTCCCTAGCACCACTAAAAAAAATAATAACTTAGGTCATTTGAATTTTATCTCCCGTTTTTTAAAATGGTAGCCTTACTAATGTCAGCAGTCCAAGTGTCCACATACATATCAAAGAAACTTCTGGTGGTATGCTAAATGTACTTAGAAATGTACATCAAATCGAGAACCAGTAATCTCACCAGAGCAAAATCCCAAACCTAGATATTTCTGCCAGGAGAATTTGAAAACGTAATGTATCTAATGGGGTTGATATAAAAAACATTTTAAAAGAAATCTGCCATTGTGTGTGTCTGTAGTCATTATTATCAAAGATTAAAAAAAAAAAAAAGCCAGATGTGGTGAATGCCTGTAATCCTAGCCACTAGAGAGGCAGACAGGATTGTGATTTGAGGGCAGCTTGGGCAAGACCCTATCTCAAAAACAAGCTGGGTGGGGTGGCTAACACCTAGAATCCCAACTACCTAAAATGCAAAAGTAGGAGGATCAAAGTCCAAGACTGACTTGGGCAAAAGCATGAGGCCCTATCTGAAAAACAAACTAAAAAATAAAAAGAGGACTAAAGACATGACTCAAGTGGTAAAGCCCTGGCCTAGCAAGCATGAGGTCCTGAGTTTAAATCCTAGTACCACAAGAAAAAAAATCTAAGTTAGCAGAGATGGTGATGAATATGGGTTTTATGTAGATGAAACACGAGCAGGCAGGAATTGACCATTGTCAAAAACATAATGGGAGCTTATTTTATATTCTTTCTATGTTTATACATGCTTGAAGTTTAATCAAAACTTTAGGAAAAACCAGACAAAAATGATGTATCATTTTGGTAGGGGACATTACATAATTCTGTTCCCGAAACAATTCGATGTTATTTTTTAAATATTTACTCTTTAATGCCCATGGCTCAGAGTCTGTAGCTTTAATAAAAATGACTTAAATTGACTTTGTTGCAGAATGACCTCTAGTAAGATAACTGATATGGAGTCTTCAGATTCTGAAAAAACAATGTGACTATTAGTAAGCGAGATTTCCAAGTGAAATCTCTGGGAAAAAAATGCCATATTGATAATAGAGACTAGTATTGATAAATCTTCTTAATCAATACTGACAGTGGGAAAGAATTGATATATGTGCCTGTATCCTTCTCTTTGAAATAATAATCAATAGTGAGAGCTTGTAAAACAGTGATTTTCAAGCCAGCTAACAACTGCAGATACTTGGCTCCACCCCTGGAGAGTAGTTTTCTTTGATTAGGGTTGTGCTCAGACATTAGTTTTTCTTAAAAGCCCTCTAGGTGATTCTAATGTGCAGCCAGAGTTGAGAGCCTGTTTTAGGAGCTAAACATAAAGCAGTTTTTTTCAGCTCTTTGAAGAATCTTTCCCCAGTGAATTAAGAGCTGTCCTTTCCACCGAATTGCACCACAATCTGTTATGCAGAATGTAACATTCATTTACCTGTCAACAGTGTAAAACAAGTCCTATCACAAGCTGGTTGGTAATGATATACTGTCATTGGTGTTGAGTCAGGACATTTCTTCAAATCAGATTTTACTTGTTACAGATACAACAGTGAACAAAACAGGAAATTCCTTTCTCTCATGGAATTTACATTCTAGTAGAGGGAGTATATAAATTTTTAATGTAAAACCTGTTGTTATTATTCTGTAGTGATACACTCTTTTCTCTTTCCCAAGCCATTCTCTTCATTTTTTCCAAGAAGCAGGGAGACAAGATGGTACTAGAAGGGAGAAAGTTTCCATTTTATATAGACTGGTTAAGGAAGACCTAACTGAGGTGATGCACTTGTGTAAGGACCTAATGGGAAGTAAGGGACAACCTGTTGCTATGCCTGAAAATATTTCAGACAGAAGGAAAGACAGGTGCAAAAGCTCTAAAGCAGAAGTGGACCTGATGCAGTCATAGATTATTTAGGATGCTGATAAGAAGCCTGGAGAAATGAGCAAGGACAAGATATGTTCAACCAAATAAGAGACAGGGGTTGAGCATAGTACAAATTGTATAGACCATATAGCCCTAGTAATTCTTTGGCTTTTGCTGTGAGAGAGATGGAGGCAGTTGTTGGGTTCTAAACAGAGTAATGCCCTGATGTAATATTTATTTTTTAACAACGTCACTCTGCTGCTGAGTTGAGAATACAACAGATGAGCAGAAACAGATAGAACAGTTATGAGGCTATTTTGGTAATATAGCCATGTAGGTAATGTGGACCCAAAAAAGGGAAAGTAGTGGAGGTAATAATAACTGATTGGTTCTCTTTCAAAAGTGAAATCATCAGAATTTGGTTACTAGGTTGGACATAAGAATTTTGGCCTGAGCCACCAGATTCTGGAAGGATTGGGCAGCCATTAACTGTTACTGAGATGGGATGCCCACAGGAGGACCTGGGTTTGTGGGAGAAGATGAAGAACTCAGTTTTTTCTATACTGAGTTTTTTGGTTTGGGTTTGTTGTTGTTTAAAGGACTGGATTTGAACTTAGTGCTTCCCATTTGCAAAGCTCTGCCACTCTGCCACTTGAGCCACACCTTTAGTCCATTTTTTGCTCTGGTTATTTTGGAAATGGGGTCTTGCAAACTATTTGCCTGATCTGAACAATCATGATTCTCCCAGTATCAGCCTCCCAAATAGCTAGGATTACAGTTGTGAGCCACCAGCACCCAGCTTGTACTAAGTTTTGAGGTGCCTATCAGACCTCCAAATGGAGATGTCAAATAAACCTTTATATACAGAAGAGTGGAACTCAAGGAAGAGGTCCAGGCTAGCAACAATAAATTTCAGAGTTGTCTGCACATAGTTATATATTTAGTACTATGAGATTAGATAATATCTCCAAAGGGAAGAGTTTATAGAGAAGAGAAGAAACCTCAGAACACAACTCCAGGGTGCTCCAATATTTAGGTCTGAGAATGATTGCCAGTGAGAGAGAGGGAAACCAGGTGAAAATGTTCCATGAAGAAGGGAAGACTTGAGAAATGTCCATTGAGTTTACCAACATGGATGCCATGTGTACATTTAATATTTACAAGAATGCTATGAGATAGGTGGAATTATTGTCTTTATTTCACCAAATTAAGAAAAAAGTTCTATAGCCATCAAATAACGTGTCCAAGACAAAATACTACTAATGGTGCAGACCATTTATATTATACTCCCTTTTGTATCATCTAGACGTTAACTTTGAAAACATTTTTACCTATGAGGAAAATTTAGGTTGTAATAAAACATATTCTCCATTCAGAATTAATACATTAATACTTTATAAAATTTGATTCAGATGTACTTTTTTTTGTGGTACTGAGGTTCGAACTCAAGCCTATGCCTTGAGCTTGTTGGTGATGGGTTTTTTCGAGATAGGGTCTTGTGAACTATTTGCCTGGGCTGGCTTCGAACCTTGATCCTCCTGATCTCTGCCTCCTGATTAACTAGGAGGTGTGAGCCACCAGTGCCTGGCTCAGATGTATACTTTTAAATAAAAGAAAGAAAACATTGTAGGTTAATTTTTAAAAAAAAGTATTCTGAATACTTGGAATGAGTGAAGAATAGGTGAAGAACACAGTTTCCTGCACTCAGGAAAGAGAAAATAAATAATGTGTTAGACAGTGATAAATGGTAAGGAAAAAGAAAAGGAAAATATATAGCAGAAGAAGGAAGTCAACAGATTAGGCTTGGAGTTAGAAAGCAGGTTACACTTTTTAAAAATGTGGTCCAGACAGGCCTTATTGCAAAGATAGCATAAGGAAATTTAGCTGAGGAAGATGGTTCCAGACAGATGGAGCAGCCAACTCAAAGAATGAGGAAGACATGGCGTCTCCTTTGTTCCCTTTCCTAACTCACCCTCCTTGCCTCCATAGAAGTTACCTATACACTGTGAGGCAAATGTGTATCCTTCTAGTCTTTACTTTTATACTTTTACCACATATATGTATATGTCCATAAACAGTATTTGGTATTATCTTCTCTTGATTTATATAAGCAATATCATACCATGTTTACTTTCTTTCACTCAAAATTATGAGGAAACATGTAAATCTAGATCATTTGTTTTAACAGGTAGTCAGTACTCTGTAAATATGCCACAATTTATTTTTTCCCTATTACAAGCAGCATTGTATTAACAATCTTCACATGTATTTCCTTATACATTAATAAGAGAAGTTTTTTGTTTGGGTTTTTTGTTTGTTTGTTTATTTGGTGGTGGTTCTGGGGTTTGAACTCAGGGCCTTGTACTTGCTAGGCAGGTGTTTTACCTCTTGAGCCACACTTCTAGCCCTAGCATTTTTTTTACTCTTTATATCTACAAATAGAATAGCTAAGCTATTCATGTGCATTTTCAACTTTATTAGATATTGCCAAATTATTCTTCACTTGCTCCCATCAGCAGTGCATTAAAGGTACTCTCTCTTCCTGTCTTCACTAACCTTTGGTTTTGCCAATTAGTATCTTTTTTAAAAAATGCTTTCTGAGAAACTAAGACTACTCCAGAATATTTTGTTGCCATCAACAGCTAAGTAATAGAATTTCCTTAGGATTTTTTTAAACCTTAAGTTTTCTCTAATAAAGACCTAGCTTTACAACTAATTAAGCCAGTTCTTATTTCTACAAATTACAGATTATGACATTCCTTAATTGCCTGCTGGCAACCTAGCACAAGATGGAAAGGTGCAAAAGATAAAGTAAAATTAAAATCAGAAATTACTTACCTTGTTACCTTTAATAAAAGGTTAAATTAGGAGAAAGCATATAGGATGCTGTTGCAGGATGTATATGTGTGTGTTTCTATACGTCATGCATTTTAGTTACCCCATTTCTATATTGCCATCTTGTCTAATAATACTGTTATTGTAAACATATAAAAGTAGAACTGGAGAACTTCCTTTTGAGAGTGACAGTCATATTATTATATTAACTGACTTTTTCCTATGGAATATATTAAGTATTTAGAAGTTACTTCTTTGAGACATAATGTCACAATTTGATTTTATCCAGAAATAGAAAGTTTACTTACTTAGGTAAGTAACGTAAAAATCCTTGGATAAGTTTTATCTTATTGTCTTTCAGATTAACAAATAGAAACATTATACACAAACCTACAGAGTGGACTTTAATTGCTATGGTGTTGCTGTCGTTGTAAGTATTGTTTCAGATTTTAGCTGTAAATATAAGGATTCTAATTAGGGAAAAAGAAAGTTATTTATTGATTTTATAAATTGCCTTGAAAAATGCCATACCTCTATTTTGTGCCTTTTTTTCCTTTCTTATAAAATTCTTAAATAATTCTCATATAAAGTGATAAGCCATTGATAAGCTATACTCATTCTCTTTATATATTTTTAACCATCTTTTCTTTTGAGGATTCTCTTCACAAAATACTATTCCTTATCTCTTGAAAGAGAAGAATATCCCCTTGTGTGGCACATACACAACGGTCCTTCAGTTTCATTTTTAATAATTCATTTTATTAACATTGAATAAGCTTCATTATTTTACATTTCTATTTTTATATACCTAATGCTATTCCATTTTTATTGTTTTACCTTTAATAGCATCAGAGAAGTTTAGTTTCCAAATTAAAGTACACTTTAAAATCTAACAGATTTAAAGGAATTAAAATAGATGCCTACTACACAAGCACATATAAAACATTTAATACTCATACACCTTTTAAGGAACCACTAGTGGTTTCTACAACTGTTTTTCAATAGGGTTAAAACCATTTATAAATGTAGTGTTTTTCAGCTTGAATTGCAAAAATCTTTTGAGGATCGTTCATCACTGCATTACTGTTGCTAACAGATGTTTGTTAGGTTATTGAAGCCCATAGGACCTTGAAAACTTACTGGACACTCACAGGTCAAGAAGTGTTAACAGTCAACTTCATAGAATCTCCAGCCCTACTCTCTGTTTTTTTGATATTACCTCAATCTGACATGTTGTTCTGGCCTTACTGTCCCAAGGAAGGCTATGCGAGGAAGAATTAGAATAGGCTTCAGTGAGCCAGAATCTGTGTCACCCAACCAGATACAACTCACATGATTCATTAAATCAGAACACAGAAAATAACTTTACTTGAATGCCATGATATAAATTTTTTATCAACCCTAAGAACAAATCTTTTGTCATTTCTACTTAAGTGTTCCGCTTGAATTGGTAGTTTGTGAAATGGATATTACTAATTTTTTAGAAAGTTCTTTGTATTTTATGAAGTGTGTAGATATTTTGGTCACTGGCAGAGAAAATATCAGTAACTCTGCTCACCCACCGTGAGCTAATAAACCCTCATAGACAACAACAGTTGAACTGTACTTCTGTAATTCATTATACAAAAGAGGAAGTAACTTTTTTGGTTGACAAGTTAGAGACCTAGGCCCAACAATAATCTCAGAATCTTGCTTTCTAATCCAGTGACTGAAAATATTATCTTCATAAACAGCTGCTTACTAAGGACATGTTAAGCCATACATTTTTTTGTATTAAACTATTGCCATATCTTCAAGTGCACAGCAAGGAACATTAAAAAAATAAGGTATGGGAAATGAAATAATAAAAGCTGCCATTACCTGTGGAGTGGCTCAAGAGGTACAGCGCTGCCTAGCAAACGTGAGGCCCTGAGTTCCAACCCCAACACTACCCAAAAAAAATAATAATTCATAAATAAATAAAAGCTACCATTAATTTCATTTCATTATTCCACATGAAAACAAACCTCTAGTGTCTGAAGTTAATAGAGCACCCATGTAGCAAAAAATACTGAAAACTTTATTAGTCCTTTTTGCACTATTTGACTTCCCTTATTTGGATGTAATACAAGGAACCTCTTATTTCAAGGGCACTGACCCATTAAAAGATAGTAACTTAACTGAATTAAAAAACTGTACATCCTAGGTGTGTTACGTTTCCTGTGTGCAGTCTTAAAGCGGTAGCAGTAACCTCTCTGTACTTGCTCTTGTCATTCACCTTCTCTTTCATTACGCCCATCCCCTGAGCTAGATCTAACCTTTCCCCAGTCATCGATTGTTCTGATCCTGGACAACTAAGAGCCTTTCCACTTTAGGCCCTTTTGGCTCATTTTAAAAATCTTTGGTTAATATAGATACCAACTCAGAGCATACTTCGTAGGTTTTGGTTTTAAAGTCTTATTTCTAATGATTCTAACTTTTGTTATAGGCCTTCCCTACAGTCCTTTCCATTCTGCATTTGCACACTCTATATCTTTACATTGCAGCTGAATCGTAGACTTTGATTATTAGCCTCTAAGACTTTTATCTCTTCCCATATTATTTCATTTCTTATTTCCTCTTTTCTCAGAAAGTCCTGTTTGGCTTTTCATAGTTCTGGCCTCCAAGGAACCTGCAGCTCACTGATAGCTACTTTCATCTATGGCTTTGCTCTTTTATCACCTTTTTCTAGTAAATATTGCTATTCAATTAGGAATAAATTTTAAATAATATATCATATTTAAACTAATCCCATTGACTTCCAGAAAGTATATTATTCTTTGTATTTCCACCCCACGTTCCTACCATGAATAGTTCACAATTACTGTTTAGAGCAGGCGGCATTGTCACTGGGAAAGAAGAAACATGCATGAAGGCCAGCATTTGATAAAGAGTCTTACGGTGAAGAATGTAGACTTTAGACATGCACAAACAAAGAGGAACGGAGAAACGTGCCTATTTCTGGAGCAGTAACCCTTCCTTTCAGCATTTTAGCTTATTGCTACTAAGTTGAATATAGGCATACAAGAGAGTATCTCTCTTTTTCTTTAATTATTATTCAGTAAACATCCATAACAATTTCCAATGGAATTTTTTTACTCATAATTTGTAAGCATTCCTGGAATTCGTATTTTAAAAACTTCTATAAGGGCAAGAGACATGGCTCAAGTGGTAGCCACCTGCCTGGCAAGTGCAGATAAGTTCAAATACCAGTGCTACCCAAAACAAAAATTATTAAATCTTTATAGTTTAGAAAAATATTCTGAATAGCAATTATAATCACTGAAGAGGCATATATAAGATAGAATGTCCAGTTATCTTCTATTTGTTTATTTGAAGCTGGACATGGTGACATGCACCTATAATCCAGCAGGTGGGAAACTGAGGCAGGAGTGTCATATGTTTGAGGCCAGCCTGAGCTATTTAGGAAGACCCTGACTCAAAAATCATATTTATTTATTTATTTTATTTAAGTACTATTATAACAGTAATACTATTCTTTGTATATGAATGTTAAAAAGTTGTATTAACTAACATTTGTTTAATGCATGAAAGCTGTTTGCAGAATTCTTGCAAATCAATTAGAAAAGGATATATATACACATCCATATATAATTTTGTTAGTATATTGGCTGTGGTGGTTCCAATCAATATTTTGGTCAAATCAACATTTTGACCAAACTAGACTCAGAACAACAGAAAAGCTTGGTCTTGAATTTTCAGTATTCTTAAAAATCACTGGGGCATTTCTAACTTATGAATTTCCATTGTACTTTTCACAGATATATTGCACTGAAGGACTGTAATATGTGCTTTATCAGCATAAACTGATGGGAATTTTTGTAGCAGTATAATCTCAGAAAGAAATTTGACCAAATAGAGTAGGTATGTTGATCAAAGCACACTCAGTGAAATGATTTATACATGAAAATATATCATGACTCACTCCCACTCTGTTTAGATTTCTTCCTAACTCTATGGGACTTGAATGGATATTGTGACTCCAACCTTTGTCCGTATTTAGACTATACATCCAGACCCTAACTAGTTGGCAAGAGCACATGGACCTTTGAAAATAGACTTCAAGCAGTTATTTATTTTACAATGAAGAGATTAATGTTCCTTTAGTCTTCTCATTTTTATTTAATAAATATTATAGTTCTTATTGTTTATTCATTTATTCGTATGTGTATACATTGTTTAGGCCATCTCTCCCCACTGTCCACCCACCCTCCCTCCCCTTCCCCTACCCCTCACTTCCAGGCAGATCCTGTTCTGCCCTCTTCTGCCCTCTTCTTCTCCAGTTTTGTTGAAGAGAAAGCATAAGAGATAATAAGAAAGATGTGGCATTTTTGCTAGCTTGAGATAAAGATAGCTATACAGAGAGATTCCTAGCATTGCTTCCATGCACATGTGTATTACAACCTGAATTGGTTAATCTCTCCCAGACCTCTTCACTACTTCTGGATCACCTTCTCATAGTGGCCTCTGTCAGTTTAAGATTACTTTATTCGCTCCTCTACAGTGGGCACATCAAACACTTTCAAGTTTTAGGTTTCCTTCCCTTTCCCTATTCCTCCTGTATGCATTCTCCCCTTAGTATGTGACCCATGTCCAATATTACTGCATTTGTTTTATATCTATAATCCACATATGAGGGAGAACATATGATTTTTGGCCTTCTGAGCCTGGCTAACTTTGTTTAAGATGATGTTCTCCAGTCCCATCCATTTACCTACTAATTACAAAATTTCATTCTTCTTTGTATTTGAGTAAAATTCCATTGTATATAAATATTAGATTTTCTTAATCCTTTCATCAGTGGTGGGGCATCTTGGCTGTTTCCATAACTTTGCTATTGTAAATAGTACTGCAGGTGCCTCTGGAGTAACCTGAGTCACATTCCTTTTGGGTATATCCCTAGGAGTGGTATTGCTGGATCATATGGCAGATCTATGTTTAGTTTCTTAAGAAACCTACATATTGTTTTCCAGAGTGGTTGTACTTGCTTACATTCCCACATCCTCACTAACATTTGTTGTTGGTGGTGTTTTTGAGGATAGCTATTATAACAGGAGTGAAGTGGAATCTTAGTGTAGTTTTGATTTGCATTTCCTTTATGGCCAGGCATGGTGAGCATTTTTTCATGTGATTTTTGGCCATTTGGATTTCTTCCTTTGAAAAAGTTCTGTTTAGTTCAGTTTCCCACTTTATTGGTTCATTGATTTGGGGGGAGTTTAGTTTTTTGAACTGCCTGTATATTCTGGTTATCAGTCCTTTGTCTGATGTATAGCCAGCAAATATTTTCTCCCACTCTGTGGGTGGTCTCTTCGGTTTAGAGACTATTTCTTTTGTTGTGCAGAAGCTTCTTAATTTTATGAAGTCCTATTTGTCCATATTTTCTCTTAGTTG